AGCGGAATAGATGAGCAGCGGTGACAATAGCAAGGTAGGCAACGATGACGGTAGCAAGGTAGACGGCGGCGGCGGCAGACTAGGATTATAAGCTAGATGTATAGTGCAATGGAAATAGGTAGTCTCTAAGGTTAGGGTAGAGACAGATCAAAACACAGTAACATCATCGACAATGACCATAACAACGGCAACATCAACGCAACAATAACGGCAACGATAACATCAACGACAGTAGTAGAGGTAACAGCAACAGCAACAGTTCTTCCATATCAACTTTAGCTAATTCACGCAGACAACTTCTCTTCACTCCTCCTCTCCCCCTGAAGAGAAGAGGTCGTCGGAGTCAAGAAATAAACAACATCTTCATGGGAATATGTCAAGCTAATGGGGATACGTCAATAAACATATCGTTTTCACTCCCCCTCCCCCCCTTGAAGAGGAGGGGAGGAGAGCACTTAAATTGCAAGTTGAACACAAACACAGGTCACAAGAAAACCTAGCTCTTATACCATGTCAAACAAAGTAGGGTAAATATTTAGTTATGCTCAGATACGCTCATATTTGCTCATATTATTATTCTTCTCCAATATGGAGGTATTTATACAAGTACAAAGATGTGTTAACCCTAAATAAAATAGGAAATATATCTAAATTACAATAGGAAGTAAATCTCTATTACAATAGGACTAAATAATAATTGGTAAATAATCAAAATTCTAATGAAATAAGGAACCAAAATCCTAATTAAGTAAGGACTCGCCAACAGTTAGTTGGTATTAATCTCTAACTTTAAAATACCTTGAGTGAACTATCCAATCCAATCATAGACACCAAAGATGACAAAAGAATTCGATTATTCTACTGATTGTATAATGTAGTAGTTAAGGATTCTCCTTTGTAAATCATTAATTAAAATATTTCTAATACCAGAAATAATATTTTAATTTGTATACAATTGTGTTGAATCTCAATTACGTTTGAAACAAAGAATAAAAATAAAAAATGAACTCGTTACCAGCAGCCTTTGGCATTCAATGTTAAAGTCTGTAGTTCTCTATACCCCTCTGCCTTTTGCATCCTTTGTACCAGAGAAAAAGAATAATATGTTGAGAAGTCTTGAACACGGATAGTAGGGGTTTAAGTTTTGTTTTGTTTTGTTTTAAATTTTTTAATAGTTTATAATTTTCAAATTATTTTTAAAAATGTATTTTTTTTATTTAATCCACATGACATCATATTATTGGTATGTGAGACCCACATGTGTGTCACATCATCAATTTAACCTATTTTTGAACGGAACCTAACGGCATGGACTCTTTCTGAGCGCACCTATTAACACCTTAAGGACTACGAATGATACAAAAAAAACATAAAAGACGCAATTTGATAATTTTGTGAACTTCAAAGATGTTTTGTGAAAAAAAAAGCCTTAAAAAAATAAAAATTACACGTGAGAAAGAAAGAAAAAGGAAAAGGAGAAATGTTATACCTTTTGTCTTCCGTTTATATGGAGAGGAGAGATGAACGGAAGATTGGGTTTTTAAGATTATTTATATATATAGATGGGTAATGCTAGGCTTATGGACTTGCTTAAGAAAGAAACTAAAGGCTCGTTTGATAACCATTTCAATTTAAGTTTTTAGTTTTCATTCTTCATTTGTGCTAGAGTATAGAGGAAAAAGAGGGAGAATGAAAGTGGAGATGAGATTGAGAGGGAACATGAGAGTGGAGTGGAGGATGGGATGAATGAGTAACAAAAGTGAAAACAAAAACTAAAAACTGAAATCTTTTTGAAATTGTTTTCACTTTTGTGAGTCCCATTCTCACTCTCATTTTCCTCTATTCTCTAGCACAAAAAATGAAAAATGAAAACTAAAATTGAAATGGTTATCAAATGGGCCCTCAATTGTTCTTTGTGGAGAATGTAGGAAGATTTTATATGTGGAAGTTTTATGAATTATATATGCAGGCTTGAACATATGCAGGAAGAGCTGTAGACTGAGGTGGTTGAACTACTTGAGCCCAAATATCAAAAGAGGAGACTTTACAGAAGATGAAGTGGATCTCATGGTTAGGCTTCGAAAGCTTTTAGGAAACAGGCAAGTACAATATGAACTTCTCTTTCGTAGCTAAGGCCATTCCCAATGGGGGCTTTATTTGGGGCTCAACCACCACAAGGCTCCCATAAATACAAACTCTCCTTAAAAAGGCATCCCCAATGGTGCAAATTTGGGGCTCTAAAACTTGAAGCCCAACCGGAGTAGTAGCTAAATGTATGGGGAGCTTCTATAGTGAGGGGAAAGTTATAAGGGGTTTTTTTGAGGGGTATGTTAGAGCCGTTGGATTTCATCCAACGGTGAGTTTTTAAAAGAGGGTGCATGTAGAACCGGGTTGAAATCTGACCCGTTGGAAACCCGACTTTAGTTGAAGATATTTCCCTCTCTGAAAAATTCAAGAACACAATCCTCTGTTTTTGAATGTAACGCAAACCCAGAATTAGAAAGATCCAAAGCTCCCAAACCCTATAGTCGCTCCATTGTCATCAGCTCCTTGGGAGGCCTGCGATCTATGGCATCCTCGGTATGACGATTAATGGCTCTTATCTAGCTATTGCCCTGTTTTGATTCTATGGCTGAAGTGAAAACCCCTTCTCTTTTTCGTTCAGCACACGAGATTCCAAATGAAAGCAAAGTAGCATATCTGGTTCTGTAGCTAGACGCCGCAGCAGCATTTGTTCCTCGATTGTGGTAGAGATGGAGTCTCCACTACCAAAGAGTCTTCTCTAATGTCCACCACATTCTCTTAAGCTGATTGACTTCGGAGCTCCCGCTTGAGTTTGAGAGGTAAGTTTACTGTTGCTGGATTGATTTTATTGGGTTTGGTTTGTTTTTTGTGAGGGTGAGAACGTTCTGTAGCTAGACGCTGCAGCAGCATTTGTTCCTCGATTGTGGTAGAGATGGAGTCTCCACTACCAAAGAGTCTTCTCTAATGTCCACCACATTCTCTTAAGCTGATTGACTTCGGAGCTCCCGCTTGAGTTTGAGAGGTAAGTTTACTGTTGCTGGATTGATTTTATTGGGTTTGGTTTGTTTTTTGTGAGGGTGAGAAATTCGTCATTTGTGGCATCAATAATGCGTCATTTCTGCGGTCAATAATGTGTTATTCTGCCGTCAATAATGCGTCAGTTTTCTGTCAATAATGCATCATTTCCTTATGAATATTCAATATATTTAGTTGATTGTTTTTGGTGGGGGTGGGAAATTATGAAATGTAGGTAAAAGATCCTAAACTTAGGCTTAATGGCATTAGGAGTAAGCATTTGGAGAGGATATTGGGAGAAGTTCTGTAATTGCTGGTTTGAATTACATTTGTGTTCTTAGTTGAACATGTTGGTTCTAATGTTATTTTTTCCAGATTATTGCACAAGAGATGACGTAACTATTATTAAATTTTGTGTAATAATGGCTCTTACAAACAAGCTAGGCTATGCGTCTTTTTTGTGTCAATTTGGGCGATGTTTATTGTAAGTGGAATGCATTGATATGTTGTAATGCAGTAATAATTGATTAATGAACTAATATTTGCTATGCAGTGATATAGAAGTAGTTCAAAAATATATGTGGGTAAAATGTTTGGGGGCTCAGAGAGTGATGACTGTGTAACAGCTAATGGGATGGTTTACATTCCTGAAGTAAGAAATGAGGAAACACCAGCGGTTGGGATGAAGTTCGACTCGCTTGACCTCGCTTATAATTTCTATAACAGATATGCATTCTTGGCTGGCTTTGGTATTCGACTTCATTCCAGCTTTCGGGGGACATATAAGAAAGAGATTCTGAGGAAAGAATTTGTTTGTTGCAAACAAGGTGCATACAGGAAAGATGAAACTCGGGAGAGAAAAAGACAGCGGGGAATAAGTAGATGCAATTGCAAAGCTAAGATTGTGGTTGTGAAGACAAATGGGAGCAAGAAGTATGCCATCTCTCTTTTTGCAGAGGGACACAATCATAAGATGACAGACTCAGAAAGAGTGCATTTATTGAGATCACACCGTCGTATTTCGGATTCTACAAAAGTACTTACAAAACAGTTGGGTTCGGTTAACATCCCCATTCATCAAAAGGTAAGTATTTTCGAGGTGCAATCCGGAGGAATGGATAAAATCGATTTTATCAAAAAGGATATTTACAATCTTGAATGTAGTGTGAATGGGAAGCTGAGGAACCACGATGTTGAACTAGTGACCGAGTATTTTATGGCTGAACAGAAAAAAAATGAGGCTTTTTATTTCAAGATTGAGGGAGATGGCGAAGACAGGTTTAGTCGATGTTTTTGGGCAGATGCAACTTCTAGACGGGCATACCGGTTGTATGGAGATGTTGTTGTATTCGATACCACATTCAACACGAATCGATACGACTTGAAATTTGCACCAATATTGGGAGTTAATAACCATGGTCAGACAATTGTCTTAGCATGCACATTTTTGAGCAAGGAAACGACTGA